GGGGGGGTCTCTCCTCAACCACCACCAGTTTTAACGTATAAATCCTCACCATAGCATTAATTTGTTAAGACATTTTCAGTTTTTTTGTGAAATATGTTTTACATACTGCCACAGATACAGCAAATGGATGAATCTGCAATATTTAAATACTAAAACTCCTAAATAAACATGCCTTCAAATACCTGACAACTTGAATCTTGCAGATGAGAACCAGTCTCAACTTGTTTGAGGTATTAGAGCACTGGGGGTCTCGAATTTGATCTTAGTTTTGGTTTGTTCTGTACTGTATGTGAAGCATGTACTTTGCTGAAAGGGTGAAGTCTGTGGTTTTCATCTGATAACTATAGCGACACATCTGATCTTCTCCCACCTACTCCCATTTTACCTCCATAGGTACTGAATTCATCTTCCATCTCATCTATAAACTAGTATACTTCAGTACCCACAGAGGCCTTCCCTAGCTAATCCTCAGGCCGGTGGCCACCAAATACACAGCAGCCAGTCAATAATCGAGCAGCTGCCACACAGCAAAGCTCACCCCCTAACCACCCAAAGATCACCGTGAAAAGAGAAAATGCAGCAGTAATATTGCTTGCTGATGCAAATGAGCATATATACACATGGGTTTACACATCTAGGGGTGTCGTGATATACCGGTATTGATGATATTTAAAAATGAATAGTACACATAGGACACATAATAATGCAGCGCCATTGCCATTATGGAACGCTAAACTCTCACATGTAATTTGTTTCATTCATACCCGATGCCCTTGAACAGAAAGTCCACAAGTAAGACTTATAGGAGTAACAGAACTTATGACATTCCAGGAATTCCCTGTATCATCCGGCTATTGCTGTAGATGAGTAAAATGCAGAAAGAAGTGTTTAAGCATGAAACATTAAGACAGTCAACACATGATTGCAACAGTATATGGTTTATCTGTGTTATTCAAGCCATCTCAGGTATTTTAATAAGGATATGTATTTATAGGATAATCGCTGTATAATACTATAAAATAACATAATTTCTGCCTAATTCTGTGATAAGAATCAGTTCACAGAAGGAAGTTATTTAAAACTCTCATTTGGAGTAAAAATATGTTGTTATTCTCATAAAATGTTGTACTTTGATGCTGTAGTAAACTAAAAAGTTAGCATTATAGTCTCTTCTGTTTAGTGCAATTGTTCTTTTTGTATGCAATGGTGTGATTCATTGGTCAAAAAATGAAAAAAATAAAATTAAAATAAAGATGAATTTGACTGTGAGCATAGTTTATTTATTTATGTATTTATTCTTCAAGATTTCTATATTATGATATCGTTATCGTGAATTTTTGTGGTCACGATAATCGTGTAGTGAAAAATCTGATATCGTGACAGCCCTAATGGCATTTTATTTGATAAACGGCAGTATTCTGAATGCCATGTATTAAAATCTGTATGTATAGGAACTACAGTATGCCCACACAAAGCCAGCTGACCTATTCACATTTAAATGACAGGAAATCATGTTAAATATTTTATTAAAATGTCCAAATAAAATATGATCCTTAGAGGTGCTCAAGCACATGAAAAAGGCTTAAAATATAGAAGAGTAATTCATTTTTTTAAAATACTACTACTACTGCTACTTTTTCAAAAGTCATGTTTATGATATGAGAGGATGATTATTATACTGTAAGTAACCACTGACAAATGACAAATACTGTCCCATCACAACATGCTTTTAGAAATAAATCGAGCAGCTGCCACACAGCAAAGCTCACCCCCTAACCACCCAAAGATCACCATGAAAAGAGAAAATGCAGCAGTAATATTTCTTGCTGATGCAAATGAGCATATATACACATGGGTTTACACATCTAGGGGTGTCGTGATATACCGGTATTGATGATATTTAAAAATGAGTAGTACACATAGGACACATAATAATGCAGCGCCATTGTCATTATGGAACGCTAAACTCTCACATGTAATTTGTTTCATTCATACCCGATGCCCTTGAACAGAAAGTCCACAAGTAAGACTTATAGGAGTAATAGAACTTATGACGTTCCAGGAATTCCCTGTATCATCCGGCTATTGCTGTAGATGAGTAAAATGCAGAAAGAAATGTTTAAGCATGAAACATTAAGACAGTCAACACATGATTGCAACAGTATATGGTTTATCTGTGTTATTCAAGCCATCTCAGGTATTTTAATAAGGATATGTATTTATAGGATAATCGCTGTATAATACTATAAAATAACATAATTTCTGCCTAATTCTGTGATAAGAATCAGTTCACAGAAGGAAGTTATTTAAAACTCTCATTTGGAGTAAAAATATGTTGTTATTCTCATAAAATGTTGTACTTTGATGCTGTAGTAAACTAAAAAGTTAGCATTATAGTCTCTTCTGTTTAGTGCAATTGTTCTTTTTGTATGCAATGGTGTGATTCATTGGTCAAAAAATGAAAAAAATAAAATTAAAATAAAGATGAATTTGACTGTGAGCATAGTTTATTTATTTATGTATTTATTCTTCAAGATTTCTATATTATGATATCGTTATCGTGAATTTTTGTGGTCACGATAATCGTGTAGTGAAAAATCTGATATCGTGACAGCCCTAATGGCATTTTATTTGATAAACGGCAGTATTCTGAATGCCATGTATTAAAATCTGTATGTATAGGAACTACAGTATGCCCACACAAAGCCAGCTGACCTATTCACATTTAAATGACAGGAAATCATGTTAAATATTTTATTAAAATGTCCAAATAAAATATGATCCTTAGAGGTGCTCAAGCACATGAAAAAGGCTTAAAATATAGAAGAGTAATTCATTTTTTAAAAATACTACTACTACTGCTACTTTTTCAAAAGTCATGTTTATGATATGAGAGGATGATTATTATACTGTAAGTAACCACTGACAAATGACAAATACTGTCCCATCACAACATGCTTTTAGAAATAATCCAAAATCAGCACAACCAGACATTTGCTGCCCAGTCTGCCAGCTGACCCAACAGCTGGCCTGTGTAAAAAAAAATATTCTCTATGGTAGCACTATTCTCACAATTCACTGCCCATCATAGGACCACCTGTCATGGTTAGCCTACACTATAGACTGCTTTATGCTGGAGGACTCAGGAGTTCAGATGGGTTTGTGTTGTGTACAGTAATTGAACAGAGAAGCTAACAGGTTAACAGTCTGTGCTGTTAGCTGTGACAGAATGGTTTCGTGAAATGTTATGGTGTCATTATGAAGAATTCAGACTGCCTAGAAGTATGTGTACTGGGTGATTCAAATGGTGTTTTATTGCTAGTAAGCTCAAATAAATTGAGTTCATAACACGAGTTTGAATTATGACTTGAGATCCTTTCTGTTCCCCCTCTCCTTCTACTCTCCTGTCTATTGAAGAAGCAGAAGAGCGGTATTGCTCGTCAATCATACAAGGTGGTTTTTAAAAACACTCTTTTTATATAAGTACATTAGTATTACTATACACAGTACATGATATTGTACATTAGAATGTTTTTGAAAGGCAGAGTGAGAAACTTCAGCGATCACTGTATTGTGTAAATAAGGCTGTGTAACAAATCTTTTTGCTCACGAGACACAGAAAGGATATTGTTGCAAGTGTAAACAAAAAAAAAAAGCACGATCCCAGTTTTTCATCTGAGCCACTTTAAAACACACACAAAGCAGCTAGCAACTGTTTTTCTGTAGTACTTAGATGTTGACTACAATGTATCATATACAAAATATGAAGACGTTTAAATGTAGCACAACCTTTTGTCTCGTTAGCTAGCTAGAAAACAGCTTGCCCATTGGGCAAAATGTTTAAAGTTTAAAACAAACAGATGCTTTCCCTAAAATACAAAACTGTCATTTGACATATACTGTAAATTATATTAACTTTGCAGTAAAACAAGGCCTGTGACAATCTATTGAAATCAGTTATTTCAGTAGTCTGTAAATGCCGTAGCTAGTGTTTTGCTTAGCACGTGGAGGGGAGATAGAGATACATGTCTGTGAGGAGAGAGAGAGAGAGAGAGAGAGAGAGAGAGAGAGAGAGAGAGAGAGAGAGAGAATTTATTGTACACTTCTAAAGACTGCAAAACACACCTCACGTTATGAGCTGCGCTGCTTTGCCGGAGCTGGCAACACGAACGCTTTTATCCTGATTAATAACGGCCGGACGAGAGAGCGACAAACAGTCCGACAGCACCTCACAGCCGGCATTTAAGCAAAAAGTCAAGGGCAATCTATTATCTAATGATAAAGGGACTGGACGCCGGTTGACTGTTTATTTAGAAGTGCTGTCCAGCAGAACCGAAATATCTCCTTCCTGGAAAAAGCACAGCACCGCAATGCGAATGTCGAGCGAAGACACGCTTAAACCAGCACAACTGCATTTAACATGGGCGGAAAAAGAGGAATTAGCCGCTACAGACAACTGAATCGTGAGAAATGTTCTCTGTTCACGCCGCTGTGAGACTGCATGAAACGGCTGTTTTCGAGATCATCAACTAATCGGCAGCAGTGCATCTTCAAACGAGACAGCACGCGATAATCTGGCCGATGAATTATGCACGGCGGAGCATGAATAATACACTGAGGTGTGACGCTCGTTTTCAGAGACCGGTCGGTGCCCGACGGTGTCCCACATGACCTACTTTCAAAAGCTTTAATGCAGGAGAGATGCAGCCGCAGTGAGACGCAAAAGAGACCTTCCGCACTGAAAAACAAGCTCACTGTTTGCTCATATGTGTGACCGAAGTCGTGTGGACCTCAGGTGACATGAGCGTCACGGTGTAGCCTATCAAGAAGGATCCTCTGCGACTGCTTATTTATTTATTTTTAAATAATCGTAATTGTTTTAAGACGAATCTACCATGCCGATAACTCTAAAGACTTGCGCTAACGGAAAAAAGGGACCCTGGAGCCATTGACCTATGCACTTGCAACAGCAGGATTATTTGTTTCAGCTAAAACCAGTCATTTCAGCACATGTTGTTGGGATTTGTATTGAGCCATGGGATTTGCCTTTGCCAGCTGAAATCTGCACATTAAGTCCATAAAAGCTTCTAAAGGATTATTAAAATGACAGTTATGTCTCTGTGATGCCATAGAGTTTGATAGTCTAGCCTTCTCTAAGCAATACTACGACATAACAACTACCTACAACATCGTAGTGCTATCTATACATGTTATCAGTTCAATGAATCTAATTCAACAATGATTCTAAGCTCAGGAGATATTTTTATTGCTAATCAGTGAATTTATCTTTCGGTCCAGTCATGTGGTCACTTCCATTACTACGTTACACTGACGTTCCACCAAGAGTGACTGAGAACTTCATTCTGTCTGGTTATCGTTTTCCCAATTACAGTCTACGGCAGTGCCTAGTCTCTGCATTTCGTCCCACCAATGAGACCGGAAACTTCTGGACACACTTCCTCCCCATCTTCGTGTTCACCTTTCACTTTCTGGAGGTTTTCACGTGGGAAGGAGCGCCTGAACCTAGCAATCCTTTTTTCTACCCTTTCTGGAACTACTTCCTGGGGGTGTTGTACCTGCTGCTAGGCAGCAGTCTGGCTCATCTCCTCAACTCCATGTCACTCATCATTCGTGAAATCTGTTTCTTTGTGGACTATGGGACTATTAGTGCGTATACGGTGGGTTCCTCACTGGCGTATTACTACTACATCCATCCTCAAGCAGGAATACCAGAGATTGGATTTGAGGGAAAGAACTCTACTCGAAGGAAGAGCCTGAACGCTGATGAAGAGTCTTGGTCCTCTGCATCTTCTCCCACTCAGGTCCAACTGTTCTTTGATAGCCTCTACATCCCATCCTCCTGTCTGATCGCTATCATATGCGTCATCACCTGCTGTAACACCAGACAGTGCTGGCGGAAGTACCGCTATGCTGTCCGCACCCTTGTCTTCCTCCTTCCGTTTTTCATCTCCTCCGCTCCTGTCTTCTACCGTCTCCTGAGTCCCTCCGCGAGCTCTCCGTCATCCTCCTCCCCTCATCTGTTCTCCACCATGGCTACCTTCTTCTACCGCCATTGCTTTTGGCTGGTGGTATCTGCCTTCTTCAATATCAGTAAGATCCCAGAACGTTTTTCTCCAGGAAATTTTGATATTTGGGGTCACAGCCATCAGTGGTTCCATTGCTGCACGTTCCTGTCGATCCTGGATGAGCTGCAAATGATCAAAGTGGAGATGTGGGCCCTGCTTCTCAACCCAACTTTGGTACTATCATCTGTAACGCCACCTAGGCTTCCTGGACCAACACTCTGGTCCACCTATGGGATCATGGTGCTCCTGCAGGGGTGCATAGCATGCATCATAGCCTGGTTTGGTTGGCAGGCATATCAGATCTACGGACCAGAGCAAAAAAAGCTAAAGGGACATTAGGAGGCACTGAATGCTGGTCAGGTTTAAAGTTCTTGTTTTGTATTTTACTTTGTGAACAATGTTTGAATGATTTCTGCAGTATCACTTTAAAAAGGATCGGCCACCCAAAAATGATAATTGTCATTATTTACTGACCCTCACGTTTTTTCAAAATTCATCTGGCTTTCTTTCTTTTGCAAAGCACACGATATTTGAATTTTTATGAATAGGACCCAGAACTTTCAAGCTCTAAGAAGGACATAAAGGTAACATGAAATTAATCCATATGACTACACTGGTATATTCCAAGTCTTCTTCACTTTGTATGATGAAGAGATCAAATTTTAAGCCTTTTGCGTTCCACGGAAGAAAGACAGATTTGTAATGAAATGGTGTGTAAATGATGACATAATTTTCATGTTGGGTGAACTGTCCCTTTAAGTTTGATATGGTCACAGAAAAAAGTGCACAGTAGGCATTTATTGACAAAAACTTTGAATGTTTTAGTAGGTTTCATTGTAAGGACTTTGGAGGGAGGCTGTTTTTTTGCTGTCGGGTGGTCAAAGTCCTTGCTACTCTGTAATCAGCAAGCTAACTCTGCCACGTTTGGTCCCCAGGGGCTGTATTGTTGAACAAACTTTCCAGAAAGTTCTCATAAGTTTCACTCGAGAGGGGTGCATGACGCATGATGCATTATTGAGCTTTTACTAGGACACCTTATATTGTAACACTCTTCATTATTGGAATTCTCTTTCTCAGTCTATCTGTCACTGTCTCGCTTTTTCTCTCATCCGCCCACTCACATTTCCTCCCTCTTTTTAACAAACCCTTTAAACAGGAAGTGCAGACAAACACAAATAGTTTCAGCCAAAGTGTTTGAAGCAAAGGGAAATGAGAGGGGTGGAGTTTACATCACTGCAGTGCTAAACAACACCCTTCACAATTTTTGAAGAAACATTACATTTCACTCTATACTGTCATTTCTATTAACTATAGACCTTAATCAAGGTGTGTGGCAGCATAGCTAGTAACTGTAGATTTCAGTTGAAACGCTATATTTTAATCTACTGTAACTATGCATTGTTATTGATTGTATACGCTTCTCTATGACTTGACATTTGAAGGCCTTGGTGGTAAGACTGAAAGGAGAAAAACGAAGCCATATCATTGTTGAAAAACATATCAGCAAGTACTGTTTTTACTTGTAAAGGCCAGTTTTGAAAAACACAGGTTAACTGTAGTCATTGGGCTACACAAAAATGTCTGGTAAATCATAGTTATTAATAACTTCTAGAAAGTGCTACTAGTTGGCTGTATTCAGCTTTGTTGTACTGCATACAGCCTTGAGTTGTCACTGGTCTTTCTGCTGGGTAGTTGAATTTTCCTTCATCCAATCAGATACTTTCAGTAAAGTGGTGCTCTTATAAGAGAGTGTGAAAAGTGCTTTAGTGAAACACCTGTTGACAAAACATACAGGTTATTTAGTCTGAGAGATTGGTGTGGTTTAACAATATTTGTGCATTTCTTTGTGAACATGTCTTTCTGTTGCTGTGAATGACAAATTGAGGTCATTGATGAATCATATGTTGTGGCTGTCAAAAAAGATGTTATGTCTCTGTTGTTCTGTCCTCCAATTTCAAAGTCAGGCAGGCCGAATAGTTGCAATAGGTGTGAGGACATATAGTTTTTTTATTTATTATTTTTTTAGTCTTTTATGTATTTCATCATTCACAGGGATTCATTCATTATTCATTAATAACTTGAGTTTTGAAAGCCTCATACTTAATACTATTGTATCATATAATGAGATAAATAATTTGCTGCATTGCACAAGTGTAGTATTTAAATCTAGACGGAATATATGATTTGCACATAAATGACTTAATGTGTCTGCGCAAGTCTGTGTTCTTGACAGGGACACAATGTACATTTTTATCCTGTTTTAATATATTGAGCTGGGTTGTCTACAAAATTGGAAGGTTTCAGCCATTTTGACCGAGCATTGCTTGCCATCATGCAAGTCTGCCGACTTTGTGCTCGGCTTAACACCTCACACCTGCATTAAGATATATAGTTATACTCTACAGATCAAATGTACAAGAGACTAAATCTGTATCAAATATATTCGCTCTGGAGAAAACACCAAAATATGAATATTCAAAAACTGTGTTTAAAACAGCTTGATTAGAAATTCTTGTTCTAGAACAGTTTGTCTAGAACAGTTGTAGTTCTCAGGGGAGAAGACAGATTGTAGTCTTAATGCACTGGAAACTATGCTGGATGCCCACTGCTGTAGTGTGAGTTTATCATCATGGTTTACTTAAGTAGATCATGCTGATATATCTTATTTATTAAGATATAGGCTTGAACATGAAACTAGAATACTTCAATTTAGTGGATATTAATATGTAAGAGTTATTGTACTGCTTCTATTTCAATCTGTATCAAAAGATGAAAACTAGAGATCAATAAATTTAAATGGTAAATCAGGGCTGTCTGTTTCTTTTTAAAGAATATGTACATGTGTGTATAAGATACATGTTGAAAATCATAAAAAATAAGTGCTTTGAGTTAAATGTTAAGCTGAGAAATCCTTTGAGAGAAGGATGTCATGTTCTCATTCCATATCTGCAGGTCTGAATTTGCCTATATTATCATTTACATATCCGTGTTTGTGTGTGTGAGCCATAGGCGGAACGTGTGTAAGGCTGGGCAAGGCTTAGCCCAGGGCTGTCCAAACTCGGTCCTGGAGGGCCGGTCTCCTGCAGAGTTTAGTTCCAACCCTAATTAAACACACCTGAACCAGCTAATCAAGCTCTTACTAGGCATACAAACTTCCAGTCAGGTGTGTTGAGGCAAGTTGGAGCTAACTCTGCAGGACACCGGCCCTCCAGGACCGAGTTTGGACAGCCCTGCCTTTCCCTGGCCACTGGACTTGGAGCAAAAATGCCCCTGCACAAACAAATTAAATCTATTACGTCTGTTGCTAACAAAGTTAATATGAATAGACAGTGTCTATTAAATTCAAATCTGCTCATGTTGCACCGTATTTCATTTTAGGCGCTTTTACAGTGTTGCGCATTTTAACCAATCACACACAATTCTGTTGAGCTTAGGAATGCAATGGCCAATCAGAGGCGTTCAGATGAGTCATCATTGAAACAGATCAGTTTTGTTGAGTGCGCGAGCGTTCGTTGACTGAATTCCGGACTCTTGCAAATTCTCTCATCATAAACAACAACAACAAACAATGTAAGTAAGGGATTCATTTAATAGTGTATACAGTTTCAGTGATTATAACGATAGCTTTGTTTTTTTTGAGAGTGCTTAAATTCGCGATAGATCAATCTTAGTGATAATGTCACTTTCTATAGCCTATAATGTATTCGCTGTTTGAGTACCGTGGAAAGGAAACGTTATATAATTAGGCCTATGAATTTCTAACGTTTTTATTAAATTGTAATCAATTTAATCAGTCCTATTAAACATTTTTTTTTAGCCTACATGACAACCATGCCTTGCCTACTCTCCACCTATGGTGTGAGCGATTGACTAATGCTGAGAAACAGCAGCAGCTGCCATGTTTTATGTCACAAAACAGCCCGCCCCCTCTCTACCTATCTGTATGTCTGCTGGCCATCTACATGCTTTACAAAGTGAAACCCATAAGACAGTAGTGTAGGACAGACACCTTCAATGTGAAAAGCTGTCCAGCACACTGCAGATAATAAAAACACAACACCTCATTCTAGATGTGTCCACTTGATGGAGACTCACATCTGTTTGTTTTCTATTGCCATGGAAGACTTTGTTCAAGGAGGAAATCCTCTGGGGCTCTTTGCATCCTATTTTCAAAACATACATGTCATGACATGATTGTTTTTACAGAGTGTGGTTGTAGCCAAGGGTAGTGTAATAAAAGTTAAAATTTTTTGAAGACAAATTAATAGTTTTATTCAGCAAGGATGCATTAAATTGATCAAAAGTGACACATTATTATCATTATTATTACTTTTTATTCATCAAAGAATCCTGTATCATGGTTTTCACAAAAAATATTAAGCAGCACAACTTTTTCAACACTGATATTAATAAGCAATATTTCTTGAGGACCAAATCAGCATATTAGAATGATTTCTGAAGGATCATGTGATGCTGAAGACAGGAGTATAGATTTGCCATCACAGGAATAAATTATTAAATATTCAATGGTAAATGGTATTTAAATGGTAATATTTTAAATGGTAATATTTCACAATATTACGTTTTTTTTAACTGTATTTTTTAATCAAATAAATGCAGCCTTGGTGAGAGTAAGAGACTTCTTTCAGAAACATTAACATATGGCCCCAAACTTTTGAACGGTATTGTAGATATGATTAGCAGTTATGGTTTAGTATTATCATAGAAATATACACTCATCAAATATTTAAAACAAGAAAAAGGTTATGTATAGTTGAAGTTAATTAGTATTGATTTCTGATTAAAAGTTAAAGGTTGATAAATTCATAATTCACATGTCATCCATCTTTAATTAAAGGAGCTTTATAATTTATAATGAATACATTGTGCCATATCAAAATGTTTGCATAATGCATTAAACAGACCTAATATGTCCTAATAATACACGATAAACATAAAATGGCAAATCACCCTGTACTTTATACCCTGAAGGTTCTGGCGTGATGCATATCATACCACAGCCTTCTGAATCTTCTGTTCTCTTAGTATTAGAATATTTACTTAAACGGTTTACTCATATATTGTTCCTCCAGTTATATAAAAAGATGCAATTCATAATTAAGGATTTAGTTTATTTGACTGGACCTTTCCCTGCCTGACAAGGTTATGATTAAAGTAGACCAGAGTAGGTGGGATTCGGCTTGTTTCCTCCATTGTGATTGGTCAGGGTCAACATGTTTTCTTTGCGAGGTTGGCCAGTGCTCTGTCATGCACTGACTTATGCTGAAGAGCAAAGCTGGATGGGGTCAGAATGCCAAGACCTTCGTTATTCACCTGGCCCATCAGCACATAGTTCACTCCTATGAAGAAAATTCACAATGAATATTTAAACTATCAAAAACAAAAGGTCAGTGAAATGATCCAAAATATGAACCAGTGAGATGTTCTTAAATGTTGTACAGTGATACGAGTCATGCAAGATTGCTTGTGGTTGAACTGGGTTTGTGTGTGTTTCGTTCACCTTTACGCAGTGCTGGACACTTCATGCATGTTGCTGTCAGTGTGGCAGACATGGTGGGTCCTCTCTTTCTGAATTTAAGTCTACCTGCCTTATAGACCTTAATGATGGACACCTCAACTTCAGCACTTCCTTGAGATCCAGGGGTAAGTGAAGTCACTTTACCGGTCAATACTGTGGGAGATACAAAGGAAGATCATTTGAGAAAACAGATGATTGCATGCTTCTGATATGCAATCTAAAATTGCATGCAGATTCCAATAAAAAAATTATTAATAAATAATTATGAACATTAAATATATAACTGATTAATAATATTAACTACAATAGACTTTATAATAACTTTCATTAGTAAATCATTAACAAACATTATAAAATGCTCAATGGATCATTAGTTAATATATATCCAAAGAGTTAGAAACATGAGATAATGTGCCTGTTAATGTTTGCTAATAAACGTATTAAACATTAGATAATGTTCAAACAAATCATTATTTCATGTAAGTTAAAATGCTTACAATATTAAACTTTCAATTCCAATACAAAATGATTCAATATGTTCAATTCCATACGATCAAGCACTTATTGAAAATCTACAAATGATTTTAACAGATGTTATAAAGTGACTAAAACACTTTTGCTGCTATCCCCTGTTTATTTATGATTGAAGGAATATCCTGTTTAATGATATACTGAAGAGTAGTATACTAATATTAAACTTTCAATTCCAATACAAAATGATTCAATATGTTCAATTCCATACGATCAAGCACTTATTGAAAATCTACAAATGATTTTAACAGATGTTATAAAGTGACTAAAACACTTTTGCTGCTATCCCCTGTTTATTTATGATTGAAGGAATATCCTGTTTAATGATATACTGAAGAGTAGTATACTAATGTGAGTGTTGAGGCAATATTTTTTTTTCACCAAAATTACAATCTGTTATGTCTTTAGCATGCATTTAGCTAAACTCAACCAGCCACCCTTTACACAAACCTTGTTACATTAGCTAAAAGTCCAATGCCCATAAAGATACTTAATGATCAGTAATTGTTTATAAACATTTACAAATGATGAATAGTTTCAACTTTATATTGGCTACTGCAAAAACATGAACAAATGATTAATAAATGATTAGTAAAGATGTTGTGAATAGGGTAAATTCAGGTCTTTCGGCATACTTTTTGCCATTGAGATGACTGTTCATAAAGGTATTAATGATTAGTAAACATTTATAAACAAATGATGAAGAGTTTCCACTTGAGATACTGCAAAAACATGAACAGATCATTAATAGATTATTTGTTAAGATGTGTAAATAGAGGTATACACAACAAACAAAGACCAACAAATGAAGATCATATGAACTGAAAGTTTACTGACATTTGTAAGCATTTTAATTTACGTTAAATAATCATATGTTAATCATTAGGTAATGTTTAGGAAGTTCATTAGTAAACATTAACAAGAACATAATCATATTTATAACTATGTGAATACATATTAACTAATGACCTGTTAAGCATTATATAATGTTTGTTAATGATTTATAAATGAAAGTTATTATGACGTGTTACCCTGTAGCGGTTAATATTTATTAAAGGAAATATTTAATGTTTTATTGCTTTAATAATGTAATAATTATTCAGGTAATGAATAATAATAAATACTAACAATTATTATTATAGTTTTGAGGCCTGACCGTTACATTAGCTGTTTGCTGTAAGCACTGTTCTAAGATCCTTTATTACACCATCATTACTGTGTGAACAGCTGTCTGCACTAAAAGCTTCAAAATAACTGTCTTCCTATGAGTCCCCAGGGGCCCGTTTCTGTGACATGCAATTAGGGGAGAATGAAGCAGACATAAATAGCAGGATGAAAGAGATGATAAATGAAGCAACTCACCAAAATGACTGGGGCAGAAGCGGGTCACGAGGGTGCCTATTCTCTTGCATGGTAGGGAACACAGTGGGTTGCCCACTGAGGCTTGGAAGAAACAGATCAAATCATAAACGTAGTCTAGAGCACACAGAGAAAAACGATATATTGCATGGTCATACACATAAGCATTTGTACCTGCTTTTGTTGTTTTGTTCCCAGGTTTTGAGATGGGACTGGTCTTTGGCTTTGTTGTTGGTTTGACACCAGGCTTTACTTTTGGCTTTGCTGTAGTTCTTGTTGGT